GCGCATGCGCAAGTGACGACCCTCCCGCTTTAAAAGTGTTTTGTAAATGTTGATAATGAAAAATATATCAGTATGCCCGGGGATAATAATTTCATTCAATTTATTGTCGACAGTATGTGCGTGTCAAATCTAGACCCATATGGAGATGTGTCCCGTTGTCATGCATAACCAACGGCTCGCGCATTTTAAAAACGCATTGAAGTGAAACTTAATGCGAAGACAGCTAGGCATATTTGTTATTTTCTAATGACTAATTTATTTTTTAATATCTTTTCACTTCGTCGCCAGGTCGTCCGTCTTCATCGACAGCACAGACAGCGACGCGTGATAGCAACCGACGATAGAGGGCGGCATTTCAGTATCCCCGTCGATTACGACATTCCATTTGAAATATTACCTGTTAGTTTACCGAGTAAGTATGTAACAACCGCTGCGAATCCTAGGCTGCGAATCTGCTAATGGATTTACTGTTACCATGGAAAGCCACAGCTGTCTTAAGTGTATGTCATATGCTACGCTGTTCCCGTTATATGATGAGAGTACTAGTATATTATTATACTTGCTTTCCATCCACTTGCGTATGCGAACATTTCATTGCTTCATCAAACGAACGATGTGCGTTACAATAACAACGTGTTTAGTTCATGACAAATCATATTTCAATGTGTTCATCGACAAATTACATATTTTTATTCCTATTGCGGCTTTAAATGTTAAATTGTCATGGTAATTCATTTGATTGGCCTACGTGTCGATGTTCGCAAAGTATTGTATATGCGATCGTTCAGCAATGTGTTTTTAAGTATTAGTGTTCCCAAAGTGACATCTGTGTTCCTCATTTATCAGTAGGATATGTCACACTCAGTAGTAAATTGTCTCCACACAATACTATATGTGATTTTTAGAATAATATACAACTTGATCTATAATTTATAAATTATACTAGTAACCCGATCACTGCAAGTCACCTGCGTTATTTCCCAGGCTCGTGAAATTATCGTGTATGTTGTTTATTTCGTGAAACATCCCAGAACTAATGCTGTGAAATGTACGCGCCCATCATATATGAAAACACAACTTAAAGCGGGAGGGTCGTCACCTGCGCATGCGCGAGAATTGAGTCCCAAGCAACGACAACAACAAACGCTATAAACGCAAAGGCTCATGGGTAGACGCTTGTTTGTAAACAGTGACACGCT